AAAGGGGAGCTCGCGTTCGCGAAGAGGAGCTCGGTAAAGCATCGCATTCGCGAGCAGTGTCTCGCGTTCGCGAAGGGCAATATTGGGAAGCACAATTTTGTGCTTCGCGAACGCGAGGGACCTGTCGCGTTCGCGAAGAAGAGAGGTCTGGACAGAAAGTTTAAGTTCTGAAAATTTGACTTTGTCCCATTTTCCATTTTTCACGGATTGGAGCTCGGGAAGAGGCGATATTCTGGAGATTTTCAAGAAAAATAATGGGGTAAGTGTTCTTAACTCATTATTGGTCAAATTATCCGAATCCATCGTTGTTTTTAACATTTAATGGGTGTATTAAGTTGGAAATTTTAGAAAACTCTCTTGGTTTAATTTGAAGATTTGAGGGTCGAGTTGATGTCGAAATTTGGTAAATTTGGTATGGTTAAACTCGTGGTTGAATGTGTTTTCGAATTTTGTAACTTTTGTCGAGTTCCGAGACGTGGGCCCCACGATTGATTTTTGAGTTAAATTTTAGATTTTATTGGGAAATTAGTATTTTCTTATAGAATTAATTTTAATAAATTGTATTAACTGAATCGAATTAATTGTGGCTAGATACGAGGCTTTCGGAGACCAATTCACGAGGCAAGGGCATAGCGGAGTAAGAAATTACATGGTTTGAGGTAAGTAATACTTCTAAATTTGGTTCTGAGGGTATGAATTGTTTGGAGGTGACGCACACGATAGTTGACGCGCGTGTGGATGTGCACCATTGAAATTGTTACTTGAATAAATTCTGTGAAATTGTAAAATTTAAAGAATCATGTTATTATCTGATCATTTTCCACGTGTTAGAGAAATTGAGTTGAGGCTTTTATTAAAGATCATGTTTAGGCTACATGCCAATATTTTGGGACCCATGAGGTCGTGTTTCTGTTGAATTAATTATTTTAAAAATATACATTTCACACTCAATCATATTCGTCCATTGAGAGGATATTTATGGGATCGAGTTATGCGCCGCAGTAGGCCACATTGGCTTTATATATATTATTATTATATAGATCAGGGTTGCCCGCCTACAGCACGACTTATAGGCTTTATTACTATATGGATTGGGGTTGCCTGCCTGCAGCAGGCCTTATAGGCTTTATAATTATACAGATCGGGACTGCCCATCTGCAGTAGGCCATATCGGCTTTATATCACGCTTGAGCTGAAGGAGCCCCTCCGGAGTGTGTACACACCCTCAGTGAGCGTGGATGATTTATATATTCGGGATGGACTTCCCTAAGGCATGGACTTGCCTTACTTATTTATATTGTGATGCATATTCCCTGGACATGGATTTTGTCTGTGACATTTACATTTGCGGATAAATTACCCCAGGGATGGATTGGCCTTATACGATACCGAATGACTGACTGTTAGTCGATATATATATATATATATGGGATGGAATATCCCTGGGCTGAATTGTCCATAAATAGTACCAAGTGACTGAATGATTTGTGACCACTATTTACATGAGGTCTTTCTACTGAGAAGTCATATTCCTCATATCATGCAGTATTTATCTATTTCACTTGAACTGAGTTTAACTGTTGAACTTGAAAGCATACCTACATTTTTGTACCAGTATTTATACTGGACTGTACCTGCGGAGCTCGTCACTATTTTCAGCCCATAGGTTAGTCTTGTTACTTATTGAGTTGGTTGTACTCATACTACACTCTGCACCTCGTGTGAAGATCCAGGTGCTCCCGGTTACGACGACTGCTTGATTTTAGAGTTATTTTTGTTGGAGACTATCAAGGTAGCTGTTTGACGTCCGCAGGCTTGATTCCCTTCCTGTTTAGTTATTGTAATGTTCTATATTTCAAACAAAGATTTTATTAGTCAGACTTTGTATTCATTTAGATGCTCATGTACCACCTAAGCAAGGCCAGTGAAAACTGTTAATATCTGGGCCACAACCTCCCGAAGGCCTGGAATCACAATAGGCAAAGTCGGTGCCTGAGCTGGTCCTATCGGCTCAGTTATATCTGGAATCTGCTCCTCAGCTGGAGAAATCGGTGGTGCTACAGGTGCTGCTCCAACTGTTGTACGAGCTACACCTCGACCTTTATCTCGGCCCCGGCCTCTACCACGGCCCTGGCCTGTCGAAGCCCTAACTGGTGGCACTGGTGGCTGACTGTCTGATCCGGTAGGACGTGTCTTCACCATCTGTGAGAGAATAGAATAACAGAAATTTAATTTTCGGAATCTACAAATTCGCACGAGAGAATGCAATAAGGTGAAATTTTCCTAAGGGCTCGGCATACTCTTCGAAGATAAGTGCAGATGTCTCTGTACCGATCCGCAAGACTCTACTAAACCTGCTCATGACTCGTGAGACCTATGTAACCTAGGCTCTGATACCAACTTGTCAAGACCCAAAATCTCACCTGTTCTGATGGCGCCTATCTCAATATTAGGTAAGCCGACAATCTCAATAAACCACTATATCTTTTAAGTTTAAAAAACACATAACATTTAAATTCAACGGAAGAAATCTAACAATACAGTTATAATCATTTCCAAAACCCGGTGTCACTGAGTACATGAGCATCTAATATGAATACAAAGTTTGACTAATAAAACACTATCTGAAAGTATTGAACAATACAATAACTGAAAAAAAAAATAGTCAAGGTCAGCGGACTCCAGACAGCTACCTTGATTGTCTCCTACTAATAGCACTCTGAGATCTAACGGTCGTCGTGTCTGAATGCACCTGGATCTGCACACGAGGTGCATAGTGTAGTATGAGTACAACCAACTCATTAAGTAACAAGACTAACCTCTGGGCTGAAAGTAGTGACAAGCTCCGCAGGTATAGTCTAGTATAAATAATGGTACAGAAATGTAGGCATGCTTCCAAGTTCAACAGTTTAACTCGGTACAAGTGAAATAGATCAATATTGCATGATATGAGGAGTATGACATCTCAGTGGAAAGACCTCCTGTAAATACTGGTCACAAATCATTCGGTCACTCGATACTATTTATGGCAAATTCGGCCCAGGGATATTCCATCCCGTATATATATACACATCGACTGACAGTCAGTCACTTAGTACCGTATAAGGCCAATCCAAACATGGGGTAATTTATCCCCAAATGTAAAGGATACGGATAAGATCCATGTCTAGGGAAATTCATCACAATATAAATAAGTAAGGCAAGTCCATGTCCTCGGAAGTCCATCCCAAATATATAATCATCTACGCTCACTGGGGTTGTGTACACACTCCAGAGGGGCTCTTTCAGCCAAGCGTGATATAAAGCCGATATGGCCTACTGCAGGCAGGCAGTCCTGATCCGTATAATAATAAAGCCTATAAGGCCTGCTACAGGCGGGCAGCCCCGATCCATATAATAGTAAAGCCTATAAGGTCTGCTGCAGGCAGGCAGCTCCGATCCATATAATAATAATAATATTAATATAAAGTCGATATGGCATGTTGCGGTGCGCAACTTGATCCCATAAATATCCTCACAATGGATGAATATTTTTAAAATGTACATTTTTAAAACAATTAATTTAATAGCAACACGACCCCATGGGTCCTAAACTATCGGCACGTAGCCTAAACACGGTCTTTAATAAGAGCCTCAGCTCAATTTCTCTAACACAGGGGAAATATTCAGATACTAACATGATTCTTTAATTTTTACAACTTCACAGAATTTATTCAAGTCACAATTTCAATGGTGCACATCCACACGCTCGTTAACTATCGTGTGAGTCACCTCCAAACAATTTATATAACACCAATTCGGGGATTCATACCCTCAAAATCAAGTTTAGAAGTGTTACTTACCTCAAACCGTGTAATTTCTTAATCCGCAATCCCCTTGCCTCGTGAATTGGTCTCTGAAAGCCTCGTATCTAGCCACAATTAAACCAAGAGGGCTTTCTAAAATTTCCAACTTAATACACCCATTAAATGCTAAAATCAACCATGAATTCGGGTAATTTGACCAATAATAAGTTAAGAACACTTACCCCGTTGTGTTCTTTGAAAATCTCCCGAAAATCGCCTCTTCCCGACCTCCAATCCATCAAAAATGGAAAATGTCCCATTTTCAGAACTTAAACTTTCTATCCAGACCTCTCTTCTTCACGAACGCGACAGGTCCCTCGCGTTCGCGAAGCACAAAATTGTGTTGCCCAACATTACCCTTCGCGAACGCGAGACACTGTTCGCGAATGCGATGCTTTACCAAGCTCCTCTTCGCGAACGCGAAATTCCCTTCACGAAAGCGAAAGCAAAACCCAACTCAACTATTTTTCCCTTTGCGATATCCAATCGCGAACGGGAAGAAAAACCTCGCCTGACCAAATCATTTTGACAGCATCTAGAAAGAGGAAGATAGAAACCTCCTCGTTTTTAGTATGCCATTCACATCATTGCTTACCATTAACATGTCATCAAAAAAATTATCACTGCATACTTTAGTATAAATGATACAATTGCTTTGTCAAAATTTTCATGTCGTTCTTTGTGAGCTTTTTAGTCCATAGAAAGATCTAACAAATTTATAAACCTTATGTTAATTTCCTGATAGAACGAATCCTTCTAGTTATTCCATATATACCTCCTCATCAAGATACCATTCGATAAACATATAGGTCATAAATAGATGCTAAATCAAATATAATTCTAATCGAAGTAACTCTTGCTACCAATGTATGTATTAAAATAATCAGTTCCATCTTTATGTTAAAAGCCTTTAGCTACTAATCTAACTTGGCAAATACATAAAGTCTCATCGCTGTGGTACTTTTTCAGAAGCACCCACGTACAATCGATAGGTTTAGAAGTTAGAGGCAATCAATAAGTTCCCAAGTGTGATTTGACATTATTGAATTTATTTCATCTTTAATACTCCCTCCGTTTTAATTTATTTGAATCTATTTTCTTTTTAATCCGTGCCAAAAAGAATGACCTCTTTCCTTATTTGGAAACAATTTACATTTATGCAGCCACACAAAATATATATGCTTTATTTTACACCACAGATTCAAAAGTCTTCTATCTTTTTTTAAATTTCGTGCTCAGTCAAATGGGTTCACATAAATTGAAACGGAGGGAATAGTATCTTTCCAAAAGGCTGCAACTCTAGAAGCCATAGCTTCTTTATAGGTTGTTCTTACAACTGTCTCTATTATCTTCAACAAGATTAAAAGAAATACTATAGGAGACAATCTCAGCCAAATTAAAGATCAAGGACCAAAAGTCCAGTTGCTTCAATGGTCCTCTCTCTTTGCAACCTCTGCAGAATATTTGCCTGCAAAATACATTATTTCATGAAAGTTGTCACAAAAATCTGCTAAGAAGCCAATGATGTAACTATTTGTATGATATCTTTAGTAATGTTATATAATTTTCAAGCTATAATAAAACATGTAAATACCTTTTAAATATTTTCAAATAATAATTATACAATTATGAGAAATGTTACATAGAAACCATAAAACTGTGAAGAATCCGAGACCAGTAGGGAAAAAAAGAACCCAGTTTTGCAGAAATTTCATTACCAAATTTTAACTTATTCTTGCCACTATATAAACTCAACTTGATTGTGCAAAACCACCATACAATCATGCAAATCTATGGTAAGCTTTTTATAATCGGAAATCGGGAACTTTCAAAATTAATCTCCAATATAATGTTGTGTCAATAATATATGTCAAAATTTTATCTCATGTATACAACTTAAAAGTAAATTTTATTAAATATTATTCATAACTTTATCGACTGTTAAAACCATTATGCAAAATTTCAACAGTGTCTTCCCTACTAAACCAGAAAAAGGATAATATTAGATTAAAGGATTTAACTAACTATATCTACTGCCAGTGTAATAATACTTTTACCCTGTCAATGAAATTTAACCTACTATAGAAGGTTACATATCTTATTTTTCATGAGACAATCAAACCTCTCAATAACAACACCTCACTATAGCATCCAAAAAATGTTGGAACAAACGCGGTTGTTATAGAGAGGTTTGACTATAATATTTTCCTTATTTTTCATGTTATTTTTAATTACCTTTAAAATGACATAATGGTATAAAAACAAATTGCACGGTCAGTGAAAAGAAATATACATTAAAACTGGAAGAACACTTACATCGGAAGTACGCAATTGGTATTTTCGCGTTCGTGATGAGTTCAAACTTGTAAACATCTCCTACTTGGAGACAATTTGCTGCTCTGAATTTTGTCCATCCACGTATAATTCCAAAATGATGTGCATCTCTCCCTAGCCACACTGACCAAGATCGCTGAGCTTCATCTTTCAGAATCATCTCACACTTTCTATTTATCAACCCATTTGATTTTGCAAAATCCAGTGGGAAATACTACCATAAAATTTATTATATTTCATTATGTAATTTAGTTTCAGTTGTTACCCCAAAAAGGGAAAAAAGGCAAAGAAAAGAATGTAAAGTTTAAATCACTTACCAAAACTGACTTCTTGATGGAATAAGGTTTGATGGTCGAAATAAAATAAGGAAGATCATTATCACCAGAAGTTGGAGTAGATACTTGTGCATTAAGAGGAATCATGTCGGAGGGCTTTATACTAATGTCTGATATTCATTATAAAGAACAAGACAGCAAAAGAAAGAGAAAGGAATGAGGAAGTGTTACAATTAGAATAAAAAGAAAGATCACATTACATAAGGCTTCCAAATGATAAGGAAAAAGCTAAAAAGGCAAGCATGATGTAATGAAATAAAGTTTAATGATTTATATTTTAATTCGACTAGAGGAGACGTGAAAAGATGACAGATGACACTCCAAAGCAGCAGGAGGTTCAGGCACAAGGCAATAAAAATGCTACTTTGAATGTCACAAATCTCTTTTATGCTATTACCCCTATTCCTTCAATTCTTGTGTGCAATTTGGATGTGGATTCTAATGAAGCTTCGGGGGTTTAGTGGCTGAAAGGCTCTAATGGGAAAAGATATTAGCAGTCCTGATGTAAATATAACTCCCAAATCAACCAGTAATGCTACAACTGAGGCAGAGAATGTAGCATTTGAAGGCATTTCTAGCTCCAATTCCTGACATTGAACGAAGTAGTCAGGATAAATCTGAGCAACATAAAACAAGGATGAAATAGGAGGCAAGGATACTAATCAAGTGCAACTATGGTTCAACTTCCACCTTTGGATACTAACTTTCCACCATTAGCTTCTGGATTTTCCTTAGCCCTGTCAAACCTATGATGCACAATGCATTCATGAAACCTCTAGACTAACATTAAATGCATCAGTCCCTTCTTTTGTCCCTGGTTTCAGCAAGATATATCCAAACAATGACTATGGCATAGAAGAAGAAACCAATGAAGTAGAAATTGATTCTGTAACTGATGAAGATATGATGACATAGATGATTACGGCTAATTAGAAAGAAGATTAGAGGACAACGAAAAGAAAGAAAGAAAGAAAGAAAGGCGTGCAAGGATTTGAATGTGGATTCATTCATGGACAAGCAAAAGGGATCATTCGAACTTGGATCTCGAAGAAAAAAGAAGACAATGAATGCCCTTCTTTTCTTCGAACAATTCATATTAAAGGCAAAGAATGAATTATTTCATCCAACATAAATAGTTAATCCAGAATATCCAAATAGTGTCACATTGTTACATTTCCAAGTTTGGATGTAGACATTTGATGTAAAGAGAATCAATGGCATGCCTCTTTCTCCAAAGTCTGATCTATATGGTACTGGCCTAGTCTCCTACATGATTTTGCAATTTTTTGTTTTTAGTATAATGGTAGTGAATGTTGAGACTCCAAAGTCCAACATATCCACAAGATGAGTGTTGCAGAGATGAGAATGCTACGATAGATGTGAGGTCATACAAGATTATATTAAAAATGACCACATTCGCCACAAGGTGCAAGTAGTGAGCATTGAGGATAAAATGCGAGAAGAGGTTGTCGACAAATATAAGTAATTTTATCAAAGACGTAATATAGTATCATGGTGTATTTTACAAAGTAAAAACGTTGTCGAAAATCAAGAGGTTGCTTGAATGAGAAAACTTACCATGGAATTTCCAGATTGGTTTTTCTCCATTAGTAACAATCTCAAACATTATACGATCTCCCACCTTTAAGTCATTTGCAACACGAAATTCACCCCATATACCTCCAATATAAACTCGAGAACAGGAAGTATATAGCCTTAAATTCCATGATCTTTGTCTTTCATCTCTAATAATCAAACCACAATTCTTGTTGGTGAGACCATTTTCTGCTGCAAATCGAGTAGGAATGCACTGAAATTGTTTGTAACGATTTGCACATTTCATCAAACATTTCATATGCATCATATTTCATTATAAATACTCTAATTCAAAAAGAGAGGGGAAAGAAGATTCATGAAGGGTTAGGGGAAAATGAGTTTGGAGAGTTACAAAGTAATCATTTAACAGGCCATAAGGTTTATAACGGATTTGCACATATCATCAAACTTATCATATGCTTCATATTTTCGCGGTAATTAATTCTAGTTAACAAAGAGGGGAAAATACGGTACACATATCTTGAACGGTTAGGGGGGAAATGAATTTTGAGACTTACCAAGTAACCTTTAAGGCAATAGGGTCTAACAGTGCATAAAAAATGAGATTGACCAAAAGGGTTGTGAGTATCAGCTTCTGCACTTGGTTTGTCTGTTACATTGTAAATCGTAAAAAAAATCCGTCAAAAAATTAAATATGTCAAAAATATTAAAGTATAAGTAATGTCTAAACATCCACCACATCTTGGCTAAAGTTTTATCTAAACAAATTGAAATTTATGTCAAGATTAAGGGAATTAACTTGCTAATTCATCAAGTATATAAAAATGGACTCTAAACGTCTTACCTTTGAATTCAACATTGTTAGCTTCTTCTTCGTCCAGCATATACTCTGCATACTCTCTGTCACAGTGACTCGAATCAAAGATGGTAACCTCAAACTCCATGTTCCCTTCATGTCTGAACACCAACATATCTCCCAATTGCAGATCATGCTCCTCTGCAAACTTTCCCCAACCCTCTTCCAGTTGATAGCCGTTCACCTTCACCAGCCACTTCTTACCATCCTTTCTTAGTATTGCATGTTCCTTCTTATATCCCTTCAGATACTTCAAGAAACCTACAGGAATTTTCTGCAGTACAACATAAACTTGTCCCAAATCATTATTCTGTTTTGTTTAGGCCCTGAAACTCTACCATTTTTCTACCTTTCTTTTATCAGGCAAAAGTTGAATTTTCATTAATCATGATGCAATTGCAGTAAAAAGACAAGGGGCTTCTATACTTTCATTTTACTCCTTATACAATTCAAGGAGCTTACAAAATCCAAAAGCATAACCGCATTATTCACATTACAATGGTTACACCAAGCAAAAAGGTTCAATAAACATCTAGTCTTCAGCACATGAATTGGAGTTAAGACTCCATCAAAACACCTCTGATTCCTCTCCTTCCAAATGCTCCAAATAACACAAAATGGGATCATTTTCCGAGTATTTATGATGAATTTCCCAACTTTCCACATTTCACAGCTAACAAATGCTTCTTCAGAGTTCAGACAGCCAGGCAATACCCATTTTACCACAAAAAAGCACAAAAACATGTCCCAAGCCTTCATCTTTATAAGACCAGGGGCGGATGGTAAGAACTTTATTTGCTACACTAGTTTTTCTTCCTACTTGATTCTAACAGTTTTGCGGTTGATGTCTCATCTCTGATCATAATTGTGTACTTAATTCTCACAAATCGTTTATTTAAAAAAGTATTTATTAATTACATGCATAAACTAATGTATTTTTTGAGGCAATATTTCTGGAGAAAGTGCAAGCATCATTCAAGGGGTTGACTGAACAACGAAGCAGTTGGTAGCAAAGGGAAAACTGAAGCAATTGAATCAACAGTCATGTCACCTCGAACCCATGAAGTTAAAATCTTGGATCCCCTCTATACAGGACAATGCAAAAACAAATGGTGTATATTCTCATTCTCTGTCATATATAAATAACACCTGTTGCAGAATTCCTGCTATACCGTTGTTTCTTATATTCTCTTAAGTTAAACATGCCCCAACACAACCATACAAAACATGCCACTTCTGTTGGAACTTTTTGTCCTCCAAATTACTTTCAAAGGCCAATCATCAATAATGCTGCTGCTTCTAACTAATTTACCATAACATTCCTCACTGTAAAATTTCCTTCTATTTATTTCCCCACTATTAGTAGCGTAGCCACATAAAGTGAAGGTGGTTCCCAACTGTCAGTTGTCAGTGTTCGGAAAATTATACTGTGTATATAAAAAATTATACTAAGTATATAAGTCAAAGATTACTTTTATGCATATATATATATATATATATATATATATATATATATTAAATCTTGAATACCCGAAATTTCTTACTTCTCTAGTGGGCCACTTTAGATAGTCTCTCTCCTGCTCATTGATGTGAACATTTTGTAATTTAGCTAAGAAGCTTAACATCATTTTCAAATCTTCCAGTCTTGGCAAGATCTGCTGAATGTCATAACTGCTTTTCTACTTAATCTATTAATGTTTTTCTTTTCTGGGATAAATTCTTCAACCTCCATATGATACATAATACATAAAATAGACAAAGTAAAGATGAAACAATTACTAAAAGGGTATAATTTGACTCACCAGAGCGTGCTTGAAACCTGGTTGAATTGGCTTGAAAAAGTGAGGCTTCACTGGACGGACTTTCATAGCCAGCAGTTTAAGTGGACAAAAGTACCCTTTTCTACTTTTATAATTGATAAAAATTGAAACTTCAATAATTCAAGTTAGGGGATTCAATAATTTGTTATGTGAAACTTGAAAGAAATGACAGATTTCAATGGACCGTGAGAAATTCTGCAGCTTTCTGCTAATGTCATTTGGACAAAGAAATGCAAAGACGAAACAGAGACATCAGCTTTAATATTGCGGGGTAAGTGGCGAGTTTTCTCCAAAGGGAACCCAAAAGAGAGTAAAACTGTTTTTTTTTTTCCTCCTTCTTTTTGGTCGGATTAATTAAATTATCAAACAAAAAGGGGTGTCATTTTTATTTACCCGTAAAATGGTACATTTTAATTTTTACGTGATTTACAGATAAAAAAATTAATTTGATCCAAAAATAATAAATAAATTAAACATAAATATAAGACGTAGCCTTAAAATTGAAATAGACGACAGATATCTTGGTTCTGGGCGCAGAGATACCGAGAGCAATAAGAACAACACAAATAAGCAAGAAAGTAAAATGTTATTGAGCTTTTGATAGAATATAGTATGTGCTTGTCAGAAAATTCGCGTCATTTATAATGATAATAGAGCACACTATTTATAGTTGCACCTAGGGAACAAGGTTCTACGATCGAGCTCCTCTTTAATAACAATTATGAGGGTCATTGAAGAATGTGTAACGGTGGGCAGTGAATGTCATATTCTCTGTAACGAATCATGCGCTTAATGCTATAGAATATTCTTCATTGAATGCTACCGGATGCCAGCATTAATTTGGTCGTTATGAGTATCATTCTCTCTAATGACAAGCAAGATCATTACCTTCGGGTTTAGCTATCTTCTGCCTTCGGTTCCACGTGTCGCTTTCTCATGCGATCATTAAATATGAACATATTTTACCCCATAAAGATAGTCTCCCTACTTTCCGGTGGCATAACTTTGTGTCACTGGGAAGTTGGTAGAAATACCTTTTTTGGCGGAAAATTCTGACCCCCTCTGAAAAGTTTCTGACGGTTGGTTAAACGCACGTTTCTCCATATTTAATGCCCCGAACACGCGTCATCCCACGATTTAGCATCACTTTTGCCGGTTATCGAGGTAATTATGACCACGATTTTAGTCGCTTATACCTTTGCTTATACGCATCAAACCTCTTCATTTACACTTCATAATTCTCTACACTTTCTCAAACTTTCTTTACTCAACTCGTACTTTGTCTTCAACCTTTTTTTAACCTTCTTATTGAGAGAAAACCTTCCCTACTTTCTGATAAAAAATGGCCTCTTCTTCCGGAAACCTTAGTTCTGCAAAGAAAGGTAAAGCTGATGATGTTGCTCCTCATACGGTGAGCTCCATCATCCCAAAGAGTCTTGTCACCGCCAAAGACTTTGAAAAGAAGTATCCTTCCGCTCACCCTTGTATTGGTTGTTAGTGTATATCCTTCTTCCACCCATCCTTCCAGTATTTCTGATGTGAAGGAAGATTGTCACTGTCAAGATTTAAATATTATTGCTCCTGATCTGGCGGAGCGAATAACTCTCCCCAAGAAGGGTTTCACGTATTTTTATATGTATCCCTTCACTTTGGGGCCATTCTCTTTGAGCGGGGAGCTTGATTCCGTTATTGTGGAGTTTTGTATCCGCTACCAAGTGTGCCTAGCACATGTAAGTCCCCATGTGTGGAGGACGGTCTGCAACGACCCAACTAGTCATTTTGAACATTTGCATTTAGTTCAACTGTTTGAAGTCTTAAGTAGATTCATTTGATGTATTATGAGTTGTGTGAACCGTCAGTTTTGGTTTTTAGATGATTCGGAATTGATTTGGAAGAATGATTCTCAACTAGAAAACTTTATGTTGGAAGAGTTAATCAAGTTTGACTTTTGTGTATTTGACCTCGGATCGGAGTTTTAATGGTTCTGTTAGGTCTGGATGGTGATTTTGGACTTGGACGTATGCCCGGATTTGCATTTGGATGTTTCTAGAAGGTTTCGGCTCTATTTGGCGAAAGTTGACAATTTGAAGGTTTGGAATATTCATAAGTTTTACCGGAAGTTGATTTTGATGATATCAGGTTAGAATTGTGTTTCCGGGAATTAGAATAGCTTCGTTATGTCATTTGAAAATTGTGTGCAAAATTTGAGGTCATTACGAGGTAATTTGATATGGTTCGGCACGAGTTTTGGTAGTTGAAAGTTCAAAAGTTTATTAAGTTTGATTCGAGGTATGATTCATAGTTTTGGTGTTATTATGCGTGATTTGAGGTCTTGAGTAAGTCTGTGTCATTTTATGGGACTTGTCGGTATGTTCGGACGGGATCCTGAGGAGCTCGGGTGAGTTTCAGATAGGTTTAGGGCTGTATTAAGCTCGTTTTTGATGTTACAACGTCATTTTTCAAGTATAATTGGTATCACATTAAGAAAATGAGCTCTGTTTTGATTGAAGCATTAGATTTGTATCGTAATTACGGATCCATATAAAAAAGAATCGTCGAATTTGGACATCGTATGAGGGAGTTATGCTCATTTTAGTGTCGAAAAAGAGAGTTGGTGCTGCTGCTTCGAAGATATGAAGTTGGGTCCGCATTTGTGAACCTGCATGTGCAAAACAATGGTCCGCAAAAGCGGAAATGACAGATGGAAATGTGCAGGTGCAGAATTTTTGTCGCAAAAGCGAAAATCCATGTGTATAAAAAAAATTAGACTGCGTTCTTTTGCTATTTTGAGCGTATCTTGAGTTCTAGAGCTCCGATTGAGGTGATTTTTGCGGTGTTCTTCTCGTATTTTCATGGAGGTAAGTAAATAATTATAATTTTTTTAATTTTAATATGATTACAGAAGTTCATTTTTGAATTAATCCATATTTTGATTGGAGAATTAAGAGTTTTTATCAAAAATTTTTCTAAAGTGAATAATTGAGTTTTGAACATCGATACGGAGTCGGAATTAGATGAAATTAGTATGGTTGGACTCATAATTGAATGGATTGTCAAATTTCAGGAGTTTTGTCAGTTTCCAAGGTGCGGTCCCGGATTTGACTTTTTGGTTGACTTTGGGCTTTTGATTAAAGATTTCACCTTTATCGATTGTGTTTGTTTCCTTTGGCATTATTTGATGTTCTTGAGTTATTTTTGGCAAGTTTTGATCCATTTAGAGGTCGGTACGCATGGGATAGCGTCTCTGGAGTATTGTTTGGCTTGCTCGGTATTGGATTCAGCTTGTTCGAGGTAAGTAACACTTCTAAACTTGGTGCTGAGGGTATGAACCCCTTAATATGCGCGTTATGTGTTTGGTATTGAGGTGATGCACATGCTAGGTGACGGGCGTGTGGGCGTGCATCATGTGAATTATGACTCGGTTGATTCTATGGTATTGTATAGTTACCTAATCTTGTTTCTATCCATGAAATTTCTACGTGCTAGAGTAATTGAACTTTGATCCATGTTAGAAACCATGTGTAGGTTATATGCTTATCCTTTTGGGACCCACTGAGGTCATTTCTATTGTTGAGTTATTTGCTTAAATTGCAATTATGTACTCAATCACATTCATCATTTGCATATCATATCTCAGCCTATATTATAATTTATTGTTACATCATATATCATTGTTTGGGCTGATTGGCATGAGATTTGTGAGTCCGAGATACTGGAGAGATTGATGACTGAGTGAGGCCGAGGGCTTGATTATGAGTGATATTTATAGGATCGGATTGCACGTCACAATCGGATTTATTGATTCATGATGGGATCGGGTTGCATGCCGCAACATGCCATATTGGCTTATATTAGCGCTTGGGCCTCCGCCTCTCCGGAGTCTGACATACCATTAGTGAGCGCAGGTACCATTGAGTGCTGAGTGCGAGTGTCGAGTGCCAAGTGATTGAGAGTGTTGAGTGATTGGGAGGGGCTGAGTGATTGAGCGTGCTGAGTGAGTTTGAATACTCTGAGAGTATGAGTACATGAGTTCATCATTGTGATGCATTACATTGACATGCATACTTGGCATGTAGGCATAGAGATGCATTTCCTCATGCTACACGGTATTGTGACATTCATGACTTTACATGCACATTGATACGTAAGCATAAAGATGTACTTTTCTCATGCTATCTCAGAATGAAACAACTTATCTGTTGTTGAAATATTTTGAGAAAAATAACAGTTTTCTGATATACTCATACTTTGGCGATTTCGGTGAAAGATTTGGGGTTTTACTGTTATACCTGAAAAGCATGCCTATTTTTCTGTAACTGTGAACGAGCTGAACATCATATCTTTGAGATATTACTTGTGTTGCTTTTATTATATTGTTATGAGTTGTTCTTGTCTATTGGTGTTGGACTCTGACCGTTGTCCAAGCTCGTCACTGCTCTCAACCTAAAGTTAGGTTTGTTACTTATTCAATACATGGGATCAGTTGTACTCATATTACACTTCTGCACCTTGCGTGCAGATTTTGGAGTTGATGTTACTGCATGTGGCGGGTGTTGGCATTGAAGACGTACATGCATTTCGGTTATTGCCGCCTCTTGTTCTTGGTATCTTTAGATTTATAAATCTATTTACGTATATTTCAATTTCTTTTTAGCATAACGAATGCTTGTGTACTTTTGAAAATGGAAGGAATAAAGTAAAGTCCTTTTATTTATATCTTGTTTCTTGTCTGAACGATGATTTGATTTTATCATTTAAAAGTTAAACAAATACTTCAAATGCTAGTGCCATAATGAACTTAGACGTCCTCTTCAAGAGCATCGTAAAAGTAAGAGGTCCCACTCTTATTAAAACTCTCATGTTAAAGGCTTGATTTCGGAAGAGCTTATACTCGGAATCCAAATGCTTTCGAGGGGAAATTCACCCAAAGCCTTACATGATTAGACGCAAACAGTAAGACTTGCACAAACACTTAAACGAAAAAAGATGCAAAGAGAAAACTTGCGCAAATGTTTAAACGAAAGTACGCAGAACCAGAAACTTATACGATACTTGAACGGAAAAGTGATTTTAATTTACAACACATGTGCCAAGCAACACAAGAACAAAAGTTTGAAAAGGACTAAACTGCTGCATCTCCGGAACCCAGAGAAAGAGAAGCATCCGCGCCTCCAGGAGAAGTAGGTATATCCGCCGCCGATTCGATATCTTGGCCTATGTCATTTTGGCCTTCAACATCTTCGCCTTCCGGTTCCTCTTCAGTTCCCGAGGACTCAGAACCGGATCC